TGAAGCTTAAATGATAGGACTCAACCTCGGACCCAACAACAATAGAACATTAACAATAGAACTAAGAATTCCTTAAGGAACCACATCCTGGGACCACTTATTTTTATAATATTTCTTAAATTTCTTAATTACACAGGTTAAACACATATTAGTTATCACTAAATTTAAAAGAGAAAAATAATACAGAATTGATACTAATACCTAAGAATTGACATTTATTTAATAGTAAAAATTGCTTATCATTTTATAGAGGACATTGGTCAAATTTGTGATAATCTATGGCAAATTAGTATGGAGTGTAGCTTGCAAAATTACTATTGAGCGAATAAATACTCCTCAAAACTCTATGCTTATAGGAATCTAAAAAAATCCCATACCACACCTCTCATCATTGTTGTATTCAGAAAATATCCTTGCTGTTTATGACATTAAGTTTTTGTGACTGAAATTTTTCCAAGCAGCTCATTTCGGTTCGATTGCTTTGTTAAATTTGCTTGGATGCTTGAAAACTTACATTATATAGGGAACTTCAAGAATTTGTTTCATTTTAGAAACCGAAAATCCGCAACCCCCTGAATGTGCAGAATTAATTATTTGCAAGAAACTACGAAAGGATTTCGCAAAAGTTCGTCCTGGTAAGAGCAGGATTAGAACGAACGCTTGAACGTTAAAAAGGCCATGTCATAATTTATTTGGATCTTTATAAAAGGCTGGAACAGCCCTTTCGTGAAAACTTTAATTTCTGAGAACGAAAACATGTCTGCTGAAGTCGGGATGATAAATTGCGCTAAAATTAAAACTAAATATGATACGCGGCATGCGATGCTATTCGCTAAATTGGTACAAATCGTTTTGTAAACGGGATTTGTTGAAAAGTTAACGACGGAATTGTTTGGCGCTGATCGTCATTTATAATTATACGAATCACAGATCGATTTTTAAAATTATAAAGATATAAGAGAAACTGTTTTATTTTCCATGTCCCAGTAAAATTTTATAATAAATAAACTCATTAGTAATATTCAGCAAAACTGCTTCTCAAATGAGACGCGGACTTGTTCAAAGATTCTGTATAACGTACCTCTCCTATTGGCAAGAAAATTAAACGAGAAATTCATTTCCCGACAACTTTTTAAAAAACCCTGGTGAATTGTTTCCACAAACTCGCTTGCAGCCATTTCGCAATATTAAACGCGTAAGTATGAGCGCATAGCAGAGGGCGGAGAAACTGTTGCTTTTGACAGCCACGAGATGGATGAAACTTTCCCTCTTTGGGACTTCTATACGTTATGACTAAACTTACAGCCTCGCTGTCTATTCACAGAAACACGCAATAAATACACGGCAACGTCGCGTAATAAATAGGTGAAGAAATGCGAAACGCCGGAGGGAGTTTGGCTGCCGAAAGTTTCAGTCGATTTGCCATTTCGTTACTTTTTTTGTGGAAAAGAGTGAGAGTCGATTTGAAAAGGCATCTCTCTGTTTTTTTTTTTTTTGAACTTGCACACAACTTTTTTAAGTCATAATATTGGACTTGTATCTAATTTTGGCGATTTTTTAAAAATATGATTCTTTAAAAATTGGTCTACGATTTCTCTGTGTGGTTATAGTTTTTATATTATTGTGTACCACTGTAACAGCGAAGTTTTTTCCTTACAATTCATTTGGCCACGGCAGGCAATTTTAGATAGGTTTTGATTTTTTTTTATGACGTCACAATACCCAAGGTACTCGGTGGGAATCGAACCTAAGTAAACAATTTAAGCAGATAATGATTCTTATTTTTGTCTAAGGAACCACAATGCAGTTTCCTTAACATAATTCCATCAAGGAAGGTTAATTGACGTTTTCAGTGCTTCGACTATCTAGCAAGCATTGCTTCTGATCATCTTTACCGCCTCTGTCATATAATAATAATTTAACAGTAGTTGAAGAGCATTTTTATTTCAAATAATATTAAACAAGGTACTGATATTAAGAAATTTATAAAAAGAAAAAGAAAACCAGAAAATCTGTGACACAATCGCTAAAAGTTTGAGGGTGAACGAAATTGCAAAATTGACGAAGATATATTATTGGCCTTGAAAATGCAGAATTTACAATTTCCAGAATGAGTCATAAAAAATTCAAGACCTAAAAGGTAAAAAAAATTATTCCAGAAACCATGGAGGGCAGGCAGCTGTTATGGTAAGACCAAGACAGCAATAGCCCGAATAAATGTTGAGCTGGAGACTTTTGAGTTAGCCAGAGAGGTCAAACAACACATTTTCGTTTGTATTTATACTCCTAGAGTTGTTTTATTTAAAAAAGGGAGTAAATATTGGAATTGTTTGTAAGATAACCCTAGGGTTAATTAGGACCGTGCCAAAAATGTGAGAGTGAGCACATCCGTGCTGTGGGGACAAACTAAATGTGCGTGTTGTCATGCACGTGGCCGAAGTTATTTAGTGGAAACCTTCATTAAATTGATTGGATAGATAATTGACCGACGTCAAGCAATAGCGGGTCCAACAGCTTTTGTCGGTAACATTTTAACGGGCAAAAGGGGATAATAGAGATCGCCGGTATTGGCAGAATCATGAAATGGAAAATTAACAATTTCACGCATTCGGACCGAACCGGGTTATTACTACTGGAAAGTTCACGCGAATACAATCATTTAACACAGAACATGCCGAACATTGAAAAAGCAAAAAATTTTAAAAATAGGCTTGTTCTAGTACCATTTTCACAGGCTCTAACCTGTAAAAATTTAGTGGGCACACGGAAGGGAGAGAAAGAGAAAGGGCAGAGGGATAGACACACCCCGTCGTTTGTTATTTTCGGTTTTACTCTAATATGAAACTCGCTGTTGGTATTTTCATTTATGACAAAGTGAAATTGCAGGTAGTTTATAAAAAAAAGGTTCTTGTTTTACAAACATTTTCGGCGGACATTCGTTTTCACTATCCAGACGTCAAAGTTAAAACAATAAACAAGAATTTTTTAACTAAATCTCTAAATCCAAAATACTTGAACCAGTTTCCTTAGACCTTTCCAGCGCGCACTATTATTTTAGCGCACACAAAACAGTGAAATAAAATTGAACAAAAATATGTCCCTTCTTATGCGGAAGTTCGAGTTTCTGAAATTCAGACGATAACAAGGTATCGAATAAGAACCAATTTTCCCTTAGTTATGAGTTACTATTAAATTATAGTAGGATTCGGTGAAATCTATATTCGAAAATAAATTTTAAGGGGAAATTGTTAAGATAATAAGTCTATAACGATATAATTGAAGACCTATTAAGTAAAATTGGAAATACATAATGTATTAAAAAAAACGCGTCGTGCTACTCTATTGGCGAAAAAACATTATACCCACAGTAATGAAGTAAAAAGAAGCATAGAGACAATAACCAATGTTGCAGGAAAATTTTGCGTTTTGTCAATAGTTTATTTTTCGCGTATTTCTGCTGATAATCTTATTTTGATGTTTTTCTTCTTTTGTTTCTTTTTGAACCAACCACTTAAAGGCATATCTTTTAAATGTTATTAAATTGAATCAAACGTATACAGCTTGTTACGCATTACTAATTTTAACCGGAAATTCAAAATTACCCTGCTGCACACTTCGTGCTCCAAATTCGCTATAGTTAAAAACAGTTTTTTCCAGCACGTCAATGAAGCCCATTTATCCTTCAAAGGTGAATATTAATCTCTATACCGCCCCGTTAAATTGCGGCTAAAATTAGTTTTTAAACAACTATACAACTCCAACCGCTCGAAGTTTCGCCGTTGTATTGTTCGGGGCGTTCTTGGAATTTTTGATGTTTAAATAATATAACGATTTACAGGTTATTGTGGTGTCCTAAGTTTTACGAGCAAGGTCACCACTAGAGGCACCGTAAGGTTTAACAAAAATTGTGATCTCAGGGGATCTAACTCAATAGTTAACAGCTTCAGCATAACACATTTAAAATTACGAGTGGGAGCGGTTATTTACGATCCGTTGTCAAGAGCATCATTTTTCCGAAAAATATTTTTATTTTATAATACTCATAACATATTTTTATTTCTTCATTGAGTAAAAAATTATTCTAACTTAATGAAGGTATTAACAAAAGATAAAATTCCAAAAGAAGATAAATAAATAAAAAAAACAAAAAAATTGAAAAAATTGTTAACTCGAGGTAAAAATAATTAATAACGGGTATTTCAATTTCCAAAAATAATGCAAAATAATTTTGCTATATTGACCTTCATACTATGTTTAAAAATTATCTGAACCGTTCAAATATTTTTGTAGATCAGCTTTAAACAAATTTGCACAATGCACTTCAATAAGTTGCAGAGTTGTAGTTGTTAATTTCTAAAATTATATCGGTTTTTATATCTGGTGATCTCAAGCCGCCTACCTGTAAATCTATCTGTTAGTTTAAGTAGGACTTAGTTTCTGAGATATTTACAGTTTTGTTTTTATAAAGAACTAAGTTGGTTTGAAAAGAATAAAATACCTACATGGGAAAAAACTTGTCTAATTAGTTTTCACTAAACTTGTTCATGTAGGAGGAAGTGTATATATCCTTTTTTAATATTTTAGAAAAAATATAGGATATTAACCATTAATTATTCCATATTGCGGGTATTGTTAGAAAATAGCAATACTTAAACATTTCAAAAATAGTTTAAAAAACGATTTTTCGGGTGCCCCTTGTACTGAGAAAGTCTTGTCAAGTAGGTGTTTCGGGACACAAGTTTATCACCCAAAGTAACGTCGTTATTCTTTTATAATCTGAATTAAGCGGAACTTTGTTTGCAGAGTCCGTTGTAGCCTTAGCCATGTTTGAATCCATTTAGCTTTGAAATACTAAATGCCAATCAGGACAAACCCCAAAATACGTGTATAGCTATGATTGCTTTAGGTTAGCTTCGTTGCTATCACTATCCCTTCAGGTTACAGCCTACCTTATGTTTTCAACTTTTTTTTTTTGGGTAAAAATTTCGCGATATACTCACCTTTGGGAGGGTTGATCGGGATTGCGCTCCTATATAGTGACTCTTCGTTGTACCAGTCTTTGTTTCTCACCACAGTTTTCGCACTGAAACCCACCAAAACCGTAAACAAAAACACGCAAAGCAGTGCTCGGTACTGGCGTCTCCTCCACACCGTCCCGCTAATCAGTCCCACTAACAAACAAAGTCCCGCACTAGGTATATACAGCACTCTCTCCGCGACGACGAATCCGACGTAAAACAACGCATTCGTCGCGGGTAAAAACGGAAGGATCAAAATGGCGACCGCGAACAAAACGATGGACGTATGCGACCGGTGGAACCTACGTCTTCTGTTGTTTCTGGACGACATTTCCGTGAACACGCAGACGCACAGGTTGGAATGATTTTGCGTGCTGTTGTTGTTGTTGGTAGTACGACAGTTCTGGGAGTGCACGTCGGGGTTCCTGGTGTGGCACACGTCGCAAGAGCTTCTCTCATTTTCGATCCTTTCGCGAAATGACTCCTTGGGCAATAAGTCTTCGCGACGTTTAATATTTACAGTTTTAGCACACATTAACACTACGTTCAATAAAGCGAAATAGAAACAAAAGCTCGCGAAATTTCTCGGGTCGCTCAGTTGGGTCACCCTCGTGACGGCGTCCATGCCCCAATCGAAACTTAACGTGTTGGGGAATATAAGCAGCCAGAAATTAAATACCGGCAAATACGTAAAAGTTAGGGTTCGGGTTAGCAAACTGTGCTCCCGCGCTGTAGGATTATCGGCCGTCGAGAAGTGGGGGGTTCTGGTCTGGAGCCGCGTCATCAGAATTAGCGACAACGCTATAGAGAGGACGACTAAACTCCTGGCCTGTTTCTGAAACAGAGGAAATTAAACAATTAGGGTCGTGGTACTTTCGGTCGGTTGCGTTCGATAATGGTTACGCTTGACAGCGAATTTACGTCTCGGCTAAAATATGCCGGGTATATAAGATCGCCCGCTGGAAGTTCCTGGCGAGTAGAGTAACGGATTTTAGGGAATCATTACGAATCTAATGGTCTTTTTCATAGACCCAACTGAAAAGATAATTAAATTTTTTAAATACCTTCCGAATAACAAAACAACTTTAATGTGTCAGTCTTAACGAAAAAACGTGCTTATCGATTCAAATTCGCTAAACGCGGTCTCATTGGCTATGACGTCACCTTCCTTCGAACTAGCAGCCCTGCAAGTTAGCCTATTGAATATTGTTTTTCGACTAGCAATTTTTTAGTGACACTTCCTCTATAATCTACTATTTGCAGTGTATTTTTTTTTAATTTACAGTACCCGCGTCAATGAAGGGGCCTCCCTTTTATTTTTTGTACCCGTCTATGTGGCACAGTGTAATTTGGGATGCACGTATATAATTAAAATATCATTTTTTTGTGTGTCAAAATGACAGCAAGGCGCCATTTTAAATACTTGTTTTTAATGTTCCAAAAAAATAATCTACGATTTTATTAAACCTTGTGCATTTTGACAATATTAAAGTCTGTTAATAAACTCATTCCTAACATTATGCAAAGTTTCTGAGGGAATTATACTCCAAACATTTTGAACTCTGTCTTTCAGATCAACTAAATTTGGTTTTGTAACATAAATTTTACTTTTTAGACATCCCAAAAAAGAAGTAATTTAACATGACGCAACCTTACAATAATTATTATTATTTGTATTATATTGAAATTAAAAATGCGTTTATTTAATTTTGTGTCTTGTGCCTTTTTGTCTCACATAATCATTCTCTTACCTTTTAAAAAAACTACTTAAATTGGCGCCCTGTAGTCATTTTGACTTTTAGAGATATTGTTTTTATGTCAAAAATGCTAAATGCTAAATTTCATCATCTTATATACAACGGTACAACAAATAAAACGGGGGGTCCCATCATTGACGCGTGTACTGTATATAGTGACATCCCAAATAAGTCCAAAAGACACCTTGATTTAAATTGTGTTTAAATTTAAAAATATTTTATATATCATTTTAATTTACATTATTTCATTAGTAAATATTTGTGTACAAAACATGGTTCTTTATTTGGTTACTTTTTCATACCTTTCAGTGGCTTACTGCTGTTATTATTACACGAACTTACATCTATATCTATGAAACCTAACACAATTTTTAATTTTTCTTTGGCATTACATTAATAATTTTATATTGAAACACTTTCTATGCAGCTTTTCGTTCTGAACTGCTTTGTTACGATAAGAATTTGCGAAACAAGGCATAATCTGAAATATAGTGAAATTTCCTATTTCAATCTCAGATATAACCTAACTTTTTAATAACCGCCAGAAAATTTCTGAATAAAACTTCGTTAATAGAATAAAACCCAGAACATATTTCATTGACTAAAACGTTTACTAGACCCCAATGGTATTTTTCACCTAATCTTCATACGCTCCCGACTTTGGAGTAGTATACACTTACAATTGATATCTACAATGAAATATATTTCCTCAATACTTCAATTCAACAAAATGTCCTTCATATTTTTTTGTATCCAAATGACTCTTTCTGACGGCTATATCAACGCGTACAATTACAACGCTTACATCACTCGCAGTTCACGGAACTCATAAATAGAACAGCGTCAACAAAAGTGAAAAGTGAAATTGTTCCATTTGAGTATAAGTGTGCCCTGGTCAACCATTCGAGGAATATAAGCATCAATTGGACCGACTAATGTTGAAACTGTAATATATGATATCGTGGTGGAAAATCGTTAGGTTTCTCTGGCAATCGAAAAACAATACAAATTGAAAATTTTTCTAAAATAAACCATTATAATTCTCCCTATGGGCAGCGTCGATAAATATTGGCCTCCGCATAGTTGTTGATTCAATATTAATAATTCATGTGCAATATTTTGTAATCCCCATCGAAAATCCAATAAAAATATTTACGATATTCTTTATTTTGTATGCTCACTTCGACCATATATAGTTTGTTATTATATCGATTTTGAACAACAGCGAACAATGGACAACTGTTTATTTTGTATTACATGGAATTCACTAATTTATCGTTTCTGTTAAACAACTTTCGCAATATTTCTAAATATACTAAAATATACGGTGATTTCATTGAGAAGGTTTTCCGTGAAAATAAATCAACCATGGTGTCGACGAAATTGTTGTACGTAGTTGTCCTGGTTTTCCAAATTCGAAATCAAACTTTCTTTATAGTTTGACATACTTTGTGAATACAAGTGAATACAAGTGAAAAGTGTATTGCTTAGTTTTGGGTCGGCTTATTTTGTCCGCCATCCTTGACGTTTGCGTTGTTAATAATTCCAATCGCTTTAAATTTAATCGTACCTACTTTGCTATTGGATAGAATTAGTATAATTATTATATAATTAGTACAGCAATATTTAGCCAGTCTGCGACCCTATTAGTATTTGACCTTTCGGACCAGATTTAATAACACCTATATATTGCTATATATGTGTCGATTCCTTATTAATATATAATCAATTCGTTAATCCGGAATCAAATTTATTTTAAGGATATCTCTTGTACCTTGTTAATAGTTATCAGACTTCAAAGATTCAAAAATCCCTTAAAATGTTTATATCAACTTTAATCTTATCAATTACGATACCTAGGAGTCGGTCAAATGGACATAAAAATAGTAATAAAATAAAAAAAATGCAGTGTGCTAAAAAAGTTATTCAAGATCAAAAGTAAAAATTTTCACTTTTTTGGATATTTGTTAAAGTTTGCCAAACAATATACCGTTTTTACAACATTTTATAGTTTTGACTTCGGAATGGGTTTAAGACCCGCCTATTGTAAAGCGGAAGGGAGCATTCCTTTTAGAACGTCTACCACAAGCCAGGGCCGTATTTAAGATGTTAGCCGACAAGAACTGTGGTATTTTAAGAGTAGGGAAATTTTCTTTGATTAAACTGTTATATTAATTCATATTAGTGTGCTTTTTATAAATATTCCAGTTCAGGCTTTAACATAATGACTCTAAAATATTTTCCTAGGAAAGCAATACAAAGTATTATGTAGATAATTGATTTATAATGGACGTTTTCCCAGTTTGCTATTGGTTGATTGGCGGAGGTTGGTGAATTCGTCAAAATTAACCTCCGAAATGACTAAACCACTGTAGGCCACAGTAAGTGACATAGTTGGGAATGTTGTCCATGAAAGAACTTGTGAGACGTTTGATATATGATGCGTATCAGAAGAATATTGTTCTATTAATTAAAACTTTACATGAATGATTGAGTACTGCTTTGAACATTGACTGTTGACAAGAGACTTTGCTTGCGATCGTACGAAGAATTGGTTTTTATTAGAAAACCATCATAAGAGACAAGTTTTGATGAAACCAAGAAGAATTTCGGAATGGAGGACAAGATATTTGAGAGAAATCAAGAAATTCGTGCTAAAAACGTTCCCATCATAAACTCATAAAAGATAAACTCACGGTAACAGCAGGAATTGTTCGTTGGATGTGCCAGTTTCGCGGGACAAACGAATTATCATACTACATGCGGGCTCTGAAGCTGGTTGAGTAGTTGTTGCTTTCTGCAAAAAATGTCAAAGAAGCAAAGGTTGACTACCACGAAAAAATGACAGCAGACATCTTTGAAAACAGTGTTGTCGTGATGGAGAACGTCAGCTACCATTCTGCACAAGCGAAAAAAATTACCGAATTTATCATCGACTAAAGAAGTCATTCACAATTTTTTGCTTGAAGGATAATACGTATTTTAATAATTCCTACACAAAGAAGCAGTTATTAAAAGTTCTTAAGATGGGAACATTTGATACGAAGTATAATGTGGACAAGTTGTCTTCCACCATATCATTGCCATTTTAATCAGATAGAACTGAAATGGGGCCACTGAAACTCAGTTTAAGAAGAAACCTCGCCGACATTAGTTCTGGGGCAATAGAATTAATTAGAAGTCAAATAGAAAAAATATCTGCTTCTAGTTGGAAAAAACGTGTGGAACATGTCATCGAAGAAGAAAATGTTTACAGAAGTCAGTTTGCAATAGTGATTATTTTGATGTATTTTTTTTATAAATATTTATATTTATTTATTTGCATAACATTGTAAAGTAAGAATGGATTTTTCACTGCATGAACTAATAATAATCCAGGAATCTCAGCAGGGTTACAAAGAGAAACCCAAGCAAGGTAGGCCTGCGGTTAGACCTTCCGTGAAAACGGTATATCGTTCCTAGAACTTTACAAGAATGGTCTTTATACTTTTTCCTACGAATCAGAATTCCTAAAATATCGCAAAATGTCGAAGGTTGGGGTTATACTAAGGATTATGAACTGAAGTATAGCGATCCCCACGTTTAGATGTGTGTTTTATCATTAATTGAGTGGTCAATTTTACTCGCAAATACTCTTGATTTAAATTTTAAATTTGGAAGTATTTTCTACCCCAAGCAAAACATCTATCTATTCGCAGTTTTAAAACACAAAATAAATAAGAACTAAAAATTAAGATTTTCACGAAATTATATATTTTCACATGACAATTGATTCGACAACACCGTGTCTTTATCAATGTGACATTTGATAAAGACACGGTGTTGTCGAAACAATTGTCATGTGAATATATATAATTTCGTGAAAATCTGAAGTTTTAGTTCTTATTTACTTTGTAAAATGGATTTTCATCAAGTAAAAGCCACCTCAGTTCAACTTTAAAACACACCTGACTATTATCCAAATAAACGGAAACTCTATAACATAATTCCACGATGAGGTGCGATAATTTATTTAGTTACTGGTGGCGTGTAAAGCGGTTTTAGACCAATGTGTTAAAATTTCCCTTTCAATGCGTAA